AACAACTTCTAAGTCAACACAAGTATATTCGTGAGTTATTAGAGCGTGTGGACATGCGCAATTCCCGATCTGCTCCAACACCGATGTTGTCCACCCCTAAATTGTCTCGTGATGGTGGTCGACCTTTAAAAGATCCTCAAATATATCATAGTGTGGTAGGAGGCTTGTTATACCTTAGTCACACTCGGCCTGATTTCACTTTTAGTGTTGGGTGTGTTGCTCAATATATGCATGAACCGTGTGAATTGCATTGGCCAGCTGTCAAACGTATTCTACGTTATTTGGCTGGTACGATGGATTATGGTGTATTGTTTCATGTTTCTGATTGAGAATTAGTGTCATGTGCCTTTTCAGATGTGGATTGGGCAAGTAATTCTGGTGATCGACGGTCCATTTCAGGCTATTGTGTGTATCTCAGGGATAATCTAATTTCTTGGTGTTCCAAGAAACAAAGATTTGTATCTCGTACCACAACAAAGGCCGAGTATCAGGGGTAGCTGATGTGGTGTCAAAAATCATGTGGTTACAAGTATTGCTTGTTGACATGGGTGTTGCGACTACTAATGTTCCAGTTGTGTGGAGTGATAGTAAAAGTGCAGTCATGATGAGTGCTAATACAGTTTTTCATGCTCAATCTAAACATATCGAGCTTGACGTTCACTTCGTTTGGGAACGAGTTGCGAATGGGTTGGTTCGTGTCAATTATGTTCCTGGTCGAAGTGGAATGATACAAAGTCAAACTCTGTAAGTAACAACTTTGAGTAGTATTCTCGTGTCAAATTATACAGTTTAAAATGATTTCTATATTGAACTCGCATGAGAATTGTAAGAAAAGAAATTTACAATCTCCTGATGCTGTTAAGCATGGGAAGATAGCCAACAAGTGAAGACTCCAGTTTCTTTCAGGTGTTTAGTCATCTTCTGGAGGATCATGGTTTACCTACAAGGCTAAAATCTCGCCCTTTCGAGGATTGCAGCCAAACCAAAATCCACTTCAGAAAGAAGAAGATTTATTGTAACTTAACTCTCTACATGGTGCAATATTCGAGCCACTACACCGTACATTTCAACCCATTTAAATAAACCAGAGACTGAACCACAGTCCTCCCAATTTTAAACCCTGGAATCACAGTGAACCCCACTTTCACCCTAGGTTGGCCAGGCGAGTTATACCTCTTGGTGACATCTTCCATGCACACCATTGAGAAATCAACTCTTCTTTCGACTCGAAATATCTCAACCACTGGATCAAATGAAAAGGCCAGCTTATGAAGTGTCCATATTGAACTAGCCATGCTAACAAATGACTCGTAGAATATGCTCAATGACCGCCATGAATTCAGAACAGCTTCGTTTTTATCCAGATTGCTAAATATCGACGACTCCATGGTGGGATGGATAAGCTCTTGATACTTCTTCTCGCAAAATCTTGAGTATTCACAGCTCTGGTCCCTACTTAGCAACTCCATGGGGTTGCTAGATACATGCTCCAGTAATTGCTTCAATGGGAAAGTAGCATTATCCCCATTACACAGACGTTCATTCTCACTCAAACCAAACCCTTCAATATCGAAACCCCGAAACATTCCCAAACAAATGTAGAACAAAAAAGCAAACCTAGTGTGTCCTTTCTTTGCGTAATCAATATCAGGGTAAACCGAATTGGCCACCAAATCAAGCTCCCAGCCAGCTTTTCCCATCAAACCAATCAAAATCTTACTAAACTTATGTGTTGCTCTACAAGCCTCATGCAAAACAGATTCAAAGACCCTAACCGTTAATAGAACATCACAAGCTGAACTCAAATTACCAGACAATTTTCTTAACAATTTTGTGTTGGCCCATTGAATCTCAGCTAATTTCTTCCTCAGAGACGAGACTTGATTGTCCTTTTCATCAATCTCTTCTTGCAAACGGTTTGAAACTGTTTCCAAAGCTCTCAACTTGCTTTGATTCTCTTGCACTTGAGCTTCCAAGCATGAGCCGAGAGATAACCCAGCTTCAAAATGAGGATTCTTCCGAATTTCCCTATAGAACCGCTTCAAATCAGACAACCTTTGAAGATGAGAAACCAAAGCTCTATCAGCGGATTTCACACCTTCCTCCTCGAACGGTACGTGCGAAATCTGTAACTGAAGATAGGAAGCTTCAAAGGAAGAAACAGCATCAAAAACCGAAGAAACCAGCGAATTGGCTATCCGGGTATCGATGGTTATGCTCTGGAAACTGTTACCAATCGAGGAAGATGAAGAAGAATTCGGAGGGGGGTCGGGCTTGATGACGACGACTTTCTGGTCGGCGATGAAGTCTTCCATAGAGTCGAGGAGGGAAAAGCCGTCGGATTCAGACAGCCGGGTTTTATCGTGGTTGTCGGCGAAGAAGTCAAAAGTTTTGGTCTTGAAAACCAAGGCAAATTTCTGAAACATTTCAGAGATTTGTGGGGGTTTGGGTGTTATTGAAGATTGATTGCCATCCATTTCTCCAATAGAAATTGGGGGGGGGGGGATACAAACTTGAATCTCCGTTGCGCTTAGTTTGCTATAATAATTGTTTGGTTTTGTCGATGAAAGGGGAAGACTGTTGATTTGCTTTTAGTGTTGTGCTTTGGATGCCTTGGAAGTCAGTCATGTAATGTAATTTTTTTATATTTCTTTTTAGATTTTGGGAATTTGAGTAACGGTAATAACGCAGGGCAAGGCTAATGTGACAGCTTACTGTGTCTTTTTTTGTGACCGATCGATCTGGTCAATGCAAAGTTTGAAGTTGACTTAAGGTAGGGGCAGCGCAACCATGGAATCGCTTTAAAACCAATCAGAAAATAGCTTTTAGGAAGGGGTTAAGGAGGAACAACCTTTTGATCTAATATATTTTATGTTTATTTTACAATATACATTCATAAATATTATTTTTAATATACAATCAATTTTTAAAATTTAAATTTCCTTATTAAATAATACAATAATCCCACCACACTTGCTTAATATGCAACATCGTTCTTTTTTAGGCTTAAGGGTGACTTTTGTCTCTATAGTAAACTCAATTTATTAATATTGTCTCTATCGTTTTTTGTATCAATTTAACTCTTAAAGTTATTTAGGGTGTTCACTATAGTCATCGAAATCCGTTTTGACTAACTGAATCGTTAGTCTTATGCGTTTATCAACAATTTTCAAATCAGCTAATATTACTGACGTGGCTTGATGATGATGTGGCATATATTAAAAATATATATAATAAAATATTTACTAAATACAACGATTAAAAATCCCCTAAATTTAACCTAATCCCTTAATCTCATTGAAATAAATAATAAATTTTTGAGAATTTGTTCTAATCTTTGTGTTTAATAAATATTTTAACCTAATCACTTAATCCACGTATGCATAAGGCTCACAATTCTGTTAGTCAAAACAGTCGATGAGTTTCAAGGGCTAGGATGAATACCCCAAACAACCTTAAGGGCTAATTTGAATTTACTATAGGGACAAAAGTGATCCTTAAGCAATTTTTTTGATTAAGTTAAGGTGATTACAAAGTAAAATATGTTATAAGTACTCTTAACTATTTGACAATGAACACTCAATCACTATGCTACAGCCGCTGGTATTCGAACCCATAACCTCTAAGAACGACAACGATTATTTTAACCAGTAGAGTGAGTTGGTTCGTGCCAATATCTTTATTAATTGCAAATTACCATAACAGTTTAAGTGGTATTATATATCGACATTATTAAGATAATAGAAGTATACCAATATCACTTAACTATAAATGATTATTATATAAGGAGGAACAACTCTTACTATTAGTGAAAATTTTGAGCCATAATTCGCACCCCCTAATTTTGTTGGTTTAATTATTCTTTAAGGCCCTTCAGATTTAATATTAGTGAAATTAAATCACAACTCCTTTAAATTTTATGATTTATTCAATTTTAAAGATCTTGTTTATTTAAACCAACTTATACCAGAAACTTTACCATGATCAAAGTAAAAATGCTTGAAGGAGTTCGGCATATGAGAGAAAATAGAGTTAAAAGTGTACATTTATCATTATAATATTCGTGAATATTAAGATTTGTCATTATATTTTATATTAATTGGTATTTGTCATTCTACTTTGAGATTGTGGATATATTTGTATTTATATTTTTTTATATTATTAAAATTTCGAGTAGTCCTTGAGTATTTTATACCAACATGATTGATTAAAATTTACTATATTCAATATTGATTTTAGATGATTTTAAGAAAAATATAACATCAAAAAATTATTTCAAATATTTAATATTGATAACTTACTGAAAAAATATAAATATTTAAAATTAATAAATCAAAACATTTTTTATTAAATGAGAGTAATACTTTAATATTTTAAGAATAAATTATTTAGTCATTAAATTATGAGATCAATTATATTTTGATCATTAAACTAAAAAATTATCAATTAAATTTAAATCTAGCGAGTTTTAATATGATATAATTATAAAAAAGATCATTCAAAATATTTAAAAATACATCATATATGTATATATATATATATATATATATATAATTTAGGATAATTTTTCCATTCCCTCACTTACGTTGCCGACTCATTTTCTTCACTTTTTTTCCCATTTTCCCACTTGTTTTGTTCGTTTTTCATTCTCTTATTTTTTTCCCCTTTATTGTTTATTTTTTTCTTCATTCTCGACATGGATGCACTTAGACGGGATATATGGGGACAATTGTTCTCTCTGAAATTTTAAAATTATTATATATTTTAAATTTTCTTTTGTATATTTTTTATTATAAATATGTTTTCGTCCTTAAAATTTTATAAATATAAATTCTCCCCTAAAATAAGTCTAAATTTGCCCCTAACATAAAATTTTATATCGTCCCTGATTCTCAATAGATTTTTCTCGTTCCTTAGTCTTTATCATCGTGGACAATAGTTGGCCCAGAAATTCAAATGACAAGATATATCAAAACTTGTTATGAGGATACAACAAGACAGCTTGGTCTTCCTATTCTTAATGTTATCAACAAGGATGGGACACTAAATGAGGTTGTCAGACTGTAGTGTCGCCTTGATCGGTTAGAGGCATGGAAGAAATTGTGGTCTGGTGTTGAGGAGACCGACTTAGCTGTGAAAAAAGCAACCCCACGCTCTACAAATACCAAGATCTCAACGTGGCGGGGAGATAGTAGAGAAATTTATCAGGATCCTTGACACTTGATTTTCAAGTGCTTTGTGGCCTTTCAGTGCACTCGGGTGGCCAGATGAGTCGACACTTGTAGGCACACAGCACACTGCATTACTGTATGGCAGCTATTTGTGACAGAATCGAGTAGTCAGCCGAGGGGGCTAACCTGGTTGCTATTGAGTTTATATCACAGAGAGGGATTGAGACGACTGAAACCGATGATTCCAGGACTGCTCATTCTTTGCTCTAAGCTGCAAGGCATGCATGTTATTGAGAAGCAATTACGTTAGAAGCTATTGGAGCTAATTTTCTTCATTTAATCCTCGAGGTCAATAATTTTCTAGCTCCTACCTAGAGCAATCTTCTTTTTTAAGCCACCTTCCTTGTTCTATCTCTCACAAGCAAATTATCACTTAACGGTCATCATTGAACCAATTATAACTTTATGTCTAAATCAGAAGGGATTAACTACTAACAAATGACGCAACATATTTACTCTTATCAACAAGTTCCACGATTAGATCACCTCTGTACTAAACAAAGATAATTATCTATAAGTCTCGAATCAATCCACTTTATGATATTTCTTTGACTAAATAGGGGACACATGTTATATCTTCGGAGATATACCCTGAAGAAAATATCTCATACCACGATTTAGTCAAAGTCCCACACTCCTCGGATGGCATAACTATAATTTAACGATTAAATCTATGACAGTCTCATGTGATCTACCATAATAAAATTCATGATAAAATTCAAGATACGACAAACATATCTTCTATAAATATCCCCTACTCACAATTAAAAGATTGTCTCTCTCTAAAACTTTTCTATTTCCAACCTAAAACAACCTTCTCTCCTAAGTTACTTTCTCTTGCTAGTAAATCACTGATTAACGATCGTTCTTACATCAATTATAACTTTCATTTTGAATAAAAAAAAGTGAACGGTCAAAAAGACGACTTAACACATATTTCCATCAATGAGACCCCGTGGATTAGATTTGAAAGAAAAGCACAAAGTTGTATTGATGGCTTCTGTTTTTTGTGTGTAAAATGGACCAAAAGCAATTATTTAATAATTGATATGGTAATAAAGAATCCTTTTCTAACTTTTACTATCTCCAAAATTTTATAATTTTATGTTAGACGGTGTAAATTTCTAAAATTTTATGGAAGAATATCGTAATTAAATTTTAAAGCTGAAAATAAATCATCAATAAAAATATAAAAAATATTTAAAAATTTCAAAAATAATAACAGAGTCCTTTGGTGTTGGTCATACATGGGAGAGATATTACACAAAAATAGAGAATTTTATTAGTCGCTATTTGTTTAGGTATAACGAAGGGATGGAAGAAGATGTCATTGAGCAAAGCTGAGGGATGAAAAATAGAGAAAGTGCGAATGAAATAAATGTTTTAATTTTTTTACAACTTTAATAAATTATTTTATATTTTTTAAAATAATATTTTTAGGTTTTATTAATTTTATTGAAAAAATTAAGCATAACAATTCCATAAAATATATTTTAAATTAATCTTACGTCTCGATTAAATTATTTAAACAAGATAATAGGGGCTAATGCACTAAACCCCTATAAGGACTAAGTACATCATTTATTTAAAAAATGATTAAATTTAGTTTAATGTGTTGAATAATAAAAATAAATAAAATTTTTATATATCCATTATTTAATAAAATTAAAATTTTAAATCACATTTTTTAATTTTTGATCCACCACTAAAAACAATGTAAGATTTTTCTTAATTCTATTTCTTGTTTTTAAATCCCTTAATTTTATTCTCAATCATAATATTATATTCTATAAAGTTTTGAAGTAGAAAATATCTAAATGGTACATTTGTTTGCTTTAATTAATTTTCAATTAAAATTATCTTTCATGTTGATAAATCAAGAGATCAAGCAGTGATAAGATTATTGTTATTTTTAGAGATTTTGAATATAAACATAATATTTGTAAAGATGTTTGAGCGTTCATTATCAAATACATTAAAAGTTTTTAACAATAATTACCTTAAAACATATCATGCAAATATAATTATTTGAATTTGAGATTAAAAAATAATATTTTTAATCATAAAAATCAATTCATGAGTTATCATAAAATAAAAGTTTAAATATATTTAAAAAATAATTTTAAGATTTTTTTTTCTTTTTTCTTTAAGCCTTTGTACACCAAGTAATGGGCAAGGGATAAGTTTTAATTATTGTATGGGCTGAAACACTGTTAGAACAGTAAAAGGAGAGCAGGTGATTATGTTAAGGGGGAGGGTTTGACGCTGCTTGGGTCAGTGGCAGTGCTGCCGCTGCAGTTGGCTGCTTCTCTTTCGTACCATTTTTGATGCCATC